GAAAAAAGATTCTAGGGTATAAGTCTTATACATAAAATCTCAACCTGTAATTTCCCAGAAATCCTCCCAAGCAATGTAAAATTAAAATGTTTCAACTATGACTGTGGCAGAAGAAAAAGTAAAATGCTTTGTGTGATTTTCTGAAAAGTTGTCTGTAAGTTGTTCTTTTAACATCACGCATGTTAATATGGATTCTATAAAAAGAAGATGGCAAGGTAGGACTAAAGCTGAAGTTTTATTGGAAGAGACGGTCACAAATAGTGAAGGGGAGGAGTAGGCCTGGTCTGACGCCAGCGGCCAGCACCGAGATCCTCCTCTCCCAGCCTCCTGAGCACTTCGGGTGAACGGGGAGTCGCTGGGCCAGTGCTGCCCTCAGGGGAGTGAGCGGGCCTGCCACAGCCTCTCTGTGGGAAAGTGGGAGCACAGCAGTGGGTCTCACAGGGCTGCAGCTAAGCAATGAATCAGCCCTGCTTCCCACATGACCCGACTGATGCGTTTTCGTGACTGCCACATCATCTTCGCTGAGCACCAAACACAATCCTCCAAGGTTTTCCATTAGTGTCTGATGGACAGCAAGACCACCAATATTTTCATGCCGTCCATTTTACCTGTATTATTTGATAAATGTCATGAAACATGTTACTATTAATAAGTTAAGGATTCTAGTGTCTCAATACGACTGGTTATTAAGTATTTTATACTTGTTTTTAAAGTGAATAAATTATTTTCTTCCTACCACATATTAGGATGATTAAGGTACACAAGAAAAATTTTGTTAATTTTTTATGGTCATTTATTATACTTGTACAATACAAATAAGTTAACATACTACTTTTGGAATATTAACAGTAAATATTCACTAATTTGGGCCACTTGGAAACTGACTAAATTATAGGATATTTTTACAGATATGTGCTTATTACTTAGCAGCGTACACAGTAACTCCAAGAAGGACAGATGACTCAGAGATGACATCTGATGTAGACAAACAACCAGCTCTAATAGGCACACTAGTTTGTTTCTGGAGAGAATACAATGTATTCTCTTAAATAAGTCTCTACAATCCTCTCTGATAATATTGCACTAATAATTCACATCACACAATTACCAGCCACTGCACTGTCTTTTATAGGGTCTGCAAGCCCCATCCCCCTAAGTAATGCAGAGAAAGTCCACGGACTGAAGGACCAACCTGTGCAACCGAGGCCTGGGAACACGCAGCAGAAGCTGCCCCTGGCAATGACGTGAACCTGCGGTACATGTGCCCTGGCAGACACACAGAGCCCTCTCTGCCGGAAGACAGGCCAAGTCACCCCAGCCTCCAAGTATGGGACATTCGGGTTTCACCGCAGTGCTGGCACTTGTGATAAATAAGTGGGCTTGGGGTTGCAATTTGGGCACTCACTCTCTACAAGGTTCGCCACTGCTGCCCTGGGGCAGCCCAGCAGTTCTTGGCCTTCCTTCCTTTCACGTCTATAAACTAGACTGTAGTAACCCCGGCCCAGCTATCAAAGGCCACAAGGAAGATGCTTTTGAGACACCAAGGACACCAATCCCTTGCATTGCTAACATTTGTCTTTTATACCCGAACTTCCCGCTTCAAAAACATATTTTTGGGGCTGGGGATTTAGCTCAGTGACAAAGCGCCTGCCTGGCAAGCGCAAGGTCGTGAGTTCGGTTCCTGGTACCGGAGAAAAACCAAAAAAAACAAAACAAAAACAAAAACATATTTTTTCCAGCTCAGTTCCCCCAATCACTATTTTTAACTAAAACATGATATTTAGTTTTAAAAAATTTTTAAAAATACTTGTAAGTTTAACCTAAATATTTCAAATTTTGGTTTTATGATCTTTCCCCCCAGGAAGCCAGAGACTGGGAGGGTAGAGTTATGCTGCAGCCTCACTCAGGTGGCTCATGTTCTGTGATGGCTAAATTGTGTCCATCTGAGAAGATTACAGGGCGCCCAGCTGTGTGGGCAGCAGGGTTCTGAATGAGACACACATTTTCTGTTTTGTTTTTATGAGGTGGTGTCTTGTTCTGCTGCCCGGCTGGTCTCCAGCAGCCCACAGCCTCATGAGAAGCCGGGACTACAGGTGCTCACCATTGTGCCTGGTTTGAGATTAACATTTGAACTGGCAGAGCTGGTACAGGAGACTGTCTTCCCCAGCATGGTGGGATGGGTATCATTCCCTATGTTAGGGTCTGAATAGGACCAACGTCAGAGGAAGGAGGAATTCACGCCTTTGCTCACATCACAGTGTAAACCGGGACATCTCATCTGCTCTTGCCTTGAACTTAATCACGGGCTCCTCTGATTCCCAGGCTTTGAACTGTATAGCATTACTGACTTGCTTGCGTCTTGCTTGTGTCTTGCAGATGGCAGGTCACAGGACTTCTCAGCCTCCAGAATTTCGTGAGCCAATTCCTCACAACAGTCTCTCAATCTCTCTCTCTCCCTATCCCTGAGTAATACACATGTACTTATTCATTTAATCTTCCCAGCTTCCCTAAAGGGGGACCAAGCATTACCTCCAATTTACACACAAGGATACTACAGCACAGACATCTAGTAACTTTCCCAAGGTTATGCAGATCGTAAGTAGAGTGAGGATCTGGATCTAAGTAACTGGCTGAGGGTTAAGGATTTTTCTGTCGTTACTGTGGTCTTCTCAACCTATATAATACACTACTTCACTCACATTTTAAAAGCCAGTATTAACTGTTGGGAGCGGCTGATGCTGAAAGTACTTACCATGCAGGGCAAAGCCAGCCCAAGGACGCGGGAGCTCCTCGAAGCACGGAAACAAGCTGTTGTAGTTTGTTAACTGACTGCGGGACAGCGAGGCTGAAATGAATCAATCTCTCAAGGGTATAAATAAAGGCTCTCCTGTTCTTGGGTAGTTCCTGTGCTCTGCTCAGGAGAGAGAGCATCTCCGCGTACTCCCAGCTTTTTGTCTATTGTCTATCTTTTCCTCATTCTCGCTGCTGTTCCTTCCCAGGGTACAGCAGGAACCCGACAAATCACGACAATTAACCTAGCTGACAGCATCATAATCACTTAAAATATTTTATTTACACATGTATTTTACAAGCAACTCATTAACTTAAATTAAAAAAATATGAAGTAAAGGTTTACAGCTCTAATAATCCTTTATATAACCCAATGTATTTGTTAATGTTAATATGCTGAATGTGAAAATAGTTTTCCTAATTTACAGAAGTCTTTTTCTTCCAAAGTAATCCTATACATTAAAGAAATTTGAACACATTACACAAATTAGATGATTTAGGGCTGAGGATGTAGCTCAGCGCACTTGCCTAAGATGTACAGGGTCCCGGGTTTAATTTCTGGTTACATGCACACACACAAAAGAGATAATTTAAAGGGTATAAAAGAACATAGTCTGAAATAAGAAATTCAGATGTACATATTCAGAGAATGATAATACAGTTAAAGAATATGTTTTAAAAATCAATACATCGCCCTTTCCGTTCCCAATCTCCATATCGTGTGGGTTCTGGTCCCCTGGGTCCACCTTTTTCTTTGGTAACTGGATTAACATCATCCGGAAATTCTAAGAAAAGACAGAAGATACAAACAAACCAGTCACTAGAGATGGCAAAAACAATTATGGTCAATTTTAAAGACAGAGTTGCATAGTAAGCTACATGTAACTGATCAGATCACTGTGCAGTCTTTAAACTGTCAATGTGTTTCTTTTTCCCAAGTCTGAGAACTCATTTAGGACACAATTTTCGTATTCAGCCAACTTTACCACCAACATTGTTGACTTCAAATTCTTGGAGTAGGTTCAAGCCCCACTCTAGGAAGTAGCTTCATATATGCTGCTGGCCCGAGTAGAAGAGGTATAGAGAACAGAGTCGGATTCACTGATCTTGGAAGATTTTGAAACAACAGTACTTTGATGAAGTCACTTGGACTAAATGCCTCCATTTTCTTTTTTTGTTTTTTGTTTGTTTTTGTTTTTTTGAGAAAGGGTCTCACCATGCAGTTCAGGCTGGTCTTGAACTCACTTTGTAGCCCAGGCTAACGCCTCCGTTTTCTTACTAGTAAAATGGGAAGAGCAATTATACCTGTCCAATGGTGCTGAGAATTAAAGCAATGCATGTAGAGTGTCTAGCACAGTGCCTCGCACATAGAATGTTAACTTTAGCTACGAGCACTACTGTTCATTATCATAGGGTTTTGGCTTCAGCAACTGATTAGCTGTATCCACTTACAGACACAACTGCAACTAATATTCTTCATACCAGGTGTTCAGACTATAATTTCCAACATGGGCAATTTCCAAGAGGCCCAATTCCGAGCACTTTAACTTATTTATTTAATTTTATTATTATTCTTTTTTTGAGATGGGCCTTTGCTGTGTTGCTCAGATTGGCTTCAGATTTCTGGGCCTGAGTGATCCTTCTGCCTCAGCCTCAGGTGCAGTGGGACTACAGACATGTACCACAACCAATCTTTCAATCCTGAGCACTTCAAAATATCTCTTAACTCGCTTAGTCTTTGTAATGATCCCCAAGACAGGAAGAAATGTCCCACTTTGTAGATGAGAAAAATGAGACAAAACAGGTTGAGAAAGTTGCTTGGGGTCAGGTACTGCAGAGCGGTGTCACCGAGTGTCACCCTCTGGGCTGTGCCCTACCTACACACCACTCTGCTATGTGTATGGCAGCAACCCGGGAGCAACTGGCTCCTGGAAAAGAATCTGAATTCTTTTTAGTGCCTGGAATCAAACTCAGAACTCTGCATTTGCCAGGCAATCACTGTGCCCCTGAGCTATATCCTGGGCCCCCCAAATCTTAATTCTTAAATGGGGGTCTCTTTAAAAAACTAAAAATCATGTGACCAAATTAACACAGACAAAGAATACACAATTCACCTTGAAAGCTTCCAAATATGTATCCCTTCCGTGACTTCCGCTGTGCTGTGAGGAGCTCTCCGTCTCTCTCGTCATCACTCTTTTCCCTGAGCTTTCAATGCAAGCAGGCTCCCCGCCGCTCTCTGGCTTCCTCAGGGCCTTGCTCAGCGAAACCCTCTTTCTCCCTCGGATGCCCTGGGAGTATACCCTCCTGTGACAGAATGCCTTCGTCGGGGTGACTTAACCAGCAGAAGTCCCCGACGAGGGCGCCAACACGGTCAGGCTCTGGTGAAGGCTTGAGGACAGACCCTTCTTGCCGTGTCCTCACATGGCAGAGGGAGACAGCACGCACACTAGTGTCCCTTCTTTTAAGGCACTGTTCCCACCAGGAGACTCCACTCCAGACTCACCTAAACCTAGTATCTCCCAAAGGCCTCATCCCCAAACACCATCACACTGGGAGTTAGAACTTGTGGGTGGGTGCACAATTTGGTCTACAACACAAGGGAAGAAAGAACACACAAAGCGGGATGCAGCGCTGTGTGCCTGTAGCTGCAGTCATTCTTGGGAGGCTGAGTCAGGAGGATTCCCCGGGCAACACAGCAAGACCCTAGCCTTAAACATGTACCAGGTCAAGACACCCCTGGTTCTCACAGCCTCATCCTACTTCTAGCCCTATCATCAAACCTCTTTTTCCTTTTTGGATTCCACAAATCCAGTGCTTTTCTCCAGTTTATAATAAACTCAAAGACAATTCTTGCCAGGCGTCAAAGACCATTCTCTTCTAGGATAGCAGGAATGTCCGATTCAGTTTCATCCAACGCCCTTATCAGCACTGATATCCACCTCAGCGAGTCACATGGTCCTCACACCTCTTTCCTAATGACCCTCATCTGTACTACTCCCCTTCACTTGGACTTTGTTTTGTTTTTCCCTTGGACTTTGTTATCTCTTCAGTAGGTCCCTTCTCAACTCCCACACCTTGACCTCTTTTCTCTGACCACAGCTCCTACCCTTCCAGAGCCCTTCTTTCCCATGGTGTATTATAATCTGAAAAGGTTTTCTGAAAGCTTTCATTCTCACCACTAGCGTTCGGTTCATAGTCTTGGTGTCCCATTCTTCACTACTGCAGTACAATTTTCTAACTCATCTGTTTCCCGACTGTCGTGTCCCCAGCTGAACCCGCCCAGGAAGCTAAATTATCTCTCAAAAACAGTAACCCTTCTCCACATCACACTAAGCGAAGAAAGCCAGACACAAAGGACAATACACTGTATTATTTCATTTATATAAAATCCTTGAAAAAGCAAATCTACAGTGACAGAACAGGTCAGTGGTTATACAAGGAAGTGACGGACAGACTGCCAACAGGCCCAAGGGACTATTTTAGGGAACAGAATAATTTTATACCTGCTGTTGTTTACCTGCCTACACATTGTTCAAACTCTCTGAGCCATATAGTTAAAATAGGTGGCTTTTATTACCTGGAGATTACACTTTAATTACGCCAACTAAAATCATCTCCGTCCGAATGTTTAGTGCCTCCCTCACTGCCCACAGCAGACAGCCCTGATGCTACAACCTACCGCTCAGCCCTCTCTCCCTAGCCTTCTGTTCTGTAACTTTACGCTGAAGCCAGAGAGGCTGATTAGCTGTGTCTTGCATGTGTCATGTTCTGTGACCTCTTTCTCACACATTTTTTTTTTTAAATTTCTTCTTGTCACATTTCATCTCTATTATAAAGATTTTAGTTTTCCTTTCATCTACAGCTCAAATATCATCTCTTTTGTCCAACTTCGTCTGCTCGATTCTGTCTGGCACACTAATTATGATGTTCTTTTCACAGCTTGCTATGTATCTCATCTTCATTATTCATCTTTGTATCAAAGAGGGTGCCCAGCTACAAATATCTTCCTTTAGCCTCTTAAAAATGAGATCTACTTTCTGCAAGGAGACAACGTATTTTTTTTCTTTTTTAAAGAAGGAAGTACATACTATAGGCAGGCAAACAAGAACACAAGGAAGGAAACAGACTGTCAGAGACCAAAAGAGCTACAGAGAGCTTGAATTGGGGCTTTCTTGGTAGGATGAGTTCATAGGGATAGCTCTGAAAGGAGTTAAGGAATAGTCAAAAGGACTAGGTCAGTGTTATGGTTTATGTCTGTGTGTTCCCCCAAAGCCTCATGCGGGCATGGGGCAGGCTTTTAGAGTTTGATTGATTATGGGTGTGAGAGCTGCACCCGCCCTGGGGTGGATAGTTTGCATATGAAAGGGACAGGAAAAGAGTGCTTGAGGCCATTCCTCCCCCATTCTGCCCTGGTGTGTGCTTGTTGCTTTTGCTGTGTTCTGTCATCATGAGCTGTAGCCCTCTGCCATGTGCCACTCTGCCCTGTAACTTGCCAAGTATGGACTGAAAGCTCCACAAACTGTAAGTGAAATAAACCTTTCCTTCCTTAATTTTGGGCATCAGGTATTTTGTCCCAGCAGCGAGGGAAAAGTAACTAATAGTCAGTGATTGGACAGAGGACGCAAAAAGAGGCAGGCAGGAAGGGTGAGCCCAGATTTCTGCCTTGGTGACTTGGCTGATGCCGAGGGATTCCAGAAGGAAAAGGAGGACAGGCGGTTGCGCTGGAGGGAGGGATGAGACGAAGGGGAATGAAGGACATCAAGTAAGTGTAGTCTGCGAAGTATTACTCTTGGGATGCTTGGACTATGTGAAGAAAGATGGTCAGGAGGCAGCTGGAGAGAGGAGAGTGAGGTCAAGAGAGGTCTCAACAGAGGAGTGAATGCATGAACTGGCAAACATACACTGTATATAAAATGATCTTAAGGAGACATGAGACCCTCAGGCACACTGCCATGGTGTAAGGACAAAGACCTGGCAATGCCCATGTTTTATGTTGGGCCAAGGCCCAGGCATTTAAACATGAACCCAAGAAGGAATCAAGTGGGGCAATAGGGTGAAAAGCTGGAGCAAGCACAACAGAAACAAAGAGGATGCTTCCAGAAGCAAGTGAATACTGTCAGGCTTGTGGACGGTTCCAACACCACCAGAGCTGGGAACCACTTGCTGGGTGGGTGAGGTCTGGCAGCTGGGTCTCTGCAGAGTAACAGGTTCGGTGTGCATGTGAGCCACTCAAAGTTTAACACAAATGCCCACGTTTGTGTCACACTGCTGAACAGCTTGTGACATCTGTAGCTTTCTTTCTTTTGTGGTAAAATATATATAACATATTTATCATTTTAACTATTTGTAAACTGACACTAAATACAATTGCAATGCTGTATAACCATCAGCACTATTTGTCCCAAGTGTTTTTTTATCAGTCTCAATATAAACTCTGTGCCAATTAGAAGTTCATTTCGTCCTTCCCCCTCTGCCTAGTCCCAGATCACTTATTTTCTACTTTTTCCTCTATGAAATGCCTACGCTCAGTGCCTCATATAAGGGGAATCATTTAAAATCTGTCCTTGGGGGCTGGGGATTTAGCTCAGCAGCAAAGCGCCTGCCTGGCAAGCGCAAGGTCATGAGTTCGGTTCCCGGTACCGGAGAAAAAAACCAAAAAAACCAAAAAAAAAAAAAAAATCTGTCCGTGTCTAGCTTATTTCACTATACAGAGTACTTTCAAGGTGGGTGTTGGGGGCTGGGGATTTAGCTCAGCGGCAAAGTGCCTGCCTGGCAAGCGCAAGGTCGTGAGTTCAGTCCCTGGTACCGGAGAAAAACAAAACAAAACAAAAAAAAAAAAGGTGGGTGTTGTAGCATATATCAAAATTTCATTGCTTTTCATGCCTGAAAATGTTCCACGTATATATGTGTGTCATACTACCTTTACCCATGCACATGCCTGTGAACACTTGGGCTGGTTCCATCTTTTTGCTACTGTGAATAATGTGCACACCTGCGAATGCTTGGTTATATGTACCAATGCATATGCTCGATGCATCAGCTGACCAACACCCAACACCCGTTAGTTTCCATTGCTTTATCTCCATAGGTAAGAAGTGATACCCCATCCTGACTGATATTTACATTTCCCGAATGACTAATGATTCATATGCTTGGTGGTTATTTGTCTGTATTATGTGAAGAAATGTCTACTCAAATCCTTTGCTGATTTTTTTTTGGGTCTTTTGGAGACTGGGTCTCGCTATGCAGTGCAGACTGGCCTTGAGCTCACTTTGTAGCCAGGCTGGTCTCAAACTCACAATGACCCTCCTGCCTCAGCCTCCTGAGTGCTGGGCTTACAGGCATGCACCACCACATCCAGCCCTTTGCTGATTTTTGAACTGGATTTTTTTTTTTCGTCATTGCTTTGCAAACTTTTTATATATTCTGAATATAAATCCCATTAAGTATGTAATTTGCCACCTATTTTACCCTTTCTGTAGGCTACCCTTCCGCTTTTGTGAGGACTTCTGATGTACAAAGGGCTCTTACTTTTGATGAAGTCCTATTTATCTGTTTGCTTGTGCTTTTAGTGTCACAGCCATGACAAGCCCAATGTGATGAAGATATCTCTCAATATTTTCCTCTAAGAGCTTTATCAGCTTAGTTCTTAGACTTAGATTTTTTAAAATGGATTTTAACTTCCATTTTTGTACGTGATAAGGTCCAACGTCATTCATTTGCGTGTAGACAGCCAGTTTCTGTAGCATCATTTATTGTAAAGGCCGACTGGCTTTTCCCCCACTGAATGACTTTGGTAACTCTGTTAAAAATCAGCTGAACATATGTGAGGCTTTATTTTGGGGTTGCTGCTTTCTTCTTGTGTGATCACTCCCCTCATTTTGGTGAAAATGCTACAAATTTATTATCTTTCTCTTCTAGCGGTCAGAAGTCTGACACAGTCTCAGTGGCTACAATCAAGACATCGGCAGAGCTGTGCTCCATGTGAGGGCTGACGGGAAGCTCGGCACCTGCCCTGTCCCGCTACGAGCTGCTGCGCGTGGCCCCTGGCTTCGGGCCCCTCCCTTCACCTTTTCCTTTCTCCTTTCTTGTGGGATTCAATCCGGGCCCTTCGTGGATGCTAAAATGACTGAAAAACTTCTATGACAACTATTAAAAAATCTCCATCGTCTTGGCCACTTGGTCTAGTTATTAGATTGGGCTCAGTAAAGTACTATACATTGAAATATTTTACTGAATTACTGAATAGACGTTTCCCTACAGCAGAAAAAGATCCAGACACAGGGGCGATACCGGTATCCTCTGCTGACATCTTCTTGCCCAGGGTGCTTCACGGCATGGATGGGTTAATCCTCATTTTGCTACAAAAGGGACAGCCTTGCTGCAGACTCAGAGTAATAGGCTTAGAGGTATGCCTTTTTAAGAAGTAGCTAGAATTGCACACATTCTGTAAGTCACAGGTACAAAGGGTAGAATAAAGATAAATTAGTACTTTAGAAACAAAGCTTTCTGACATGAGCCAAATTTCCTATACACTGAACAGAAAACAGAGGCTGGGGGTGTCGCTCAGCAGTAGAGCACATACTTAGCATGGGCAGGGTCTGGGTTCAATGCCCAGCACTAAAACCAAACAAAAGCAAAAGTGATGTTTAGTCTGTTACCGCCCCCCAAGCCTCTTTAATCTTAGCGCTCCCTGCCTCTCTAGTGACACTGCACAGTGAGAATAACTACTGAGAGATTAGGCTGTGGGCACCGGATCCGAGCTTGGCCTCGAGCTTTTTCTCAAGGATTTTGCAACTGGGACCAGAAATCTAAGTCTGTGGGGCTGAGCAGCCGCCAGGGGCAGTTACTTTCTGCCCAGTGGGCTGAGAGACAGGGAAGGATCGAGAAAAGTGATCAGAGACAAGAGGAGTGGGATGATCCCAGCTCTACACAGTGATTAGCGCTGAGTTCCCAGTCTTTTTTTTTTTTTTTTCCAAGTACTGGAGACTGCACTGAGGGTCTCTGCACTGAGCTGCATTCTCAGGGTTTTCTTTTCTAAGATAGGTTCTCTTTCAGGTGCTAAGCTGTCTAAACAGGGTCAAACTTGCTTTCCTGCGGTCTCAGCCTCCCGGAGTGCTAGATCACAGGTGCGCACCACCATGCCCAGCTGACCGAGCTCCTAGTCCTTTTTTAAGGCCCAGCAGCATTACTGGGCTTGCATGCCCTTCACCCTGTCCCCAAAGGACAATCCTCGGCACCTTCTGCTGGTAAACTGGCTTATTTTAGAGACAGAGTCTTGCTATATAGTTCATGCTGGCCTTGGACTCATGGTGATCCTCCTGCCTCAGCTTCCTGAGTGCTAGGATTACAGGCGTGTGCCCACACCTGACTAGATAACTTTTTTTTTAAATATACATATTGATGGCCAGTACAGCAATTTTACTCACTGTCAAAGTCAGACACACAAGCTTAAACATCACATGGTTTCTCTTGTACGAGAAACCCAAGGATACAAAAAAGAGCAAAATAAAAAACAGGAAGTAGGGAGCGAGATCGTTGTCCAATGGGAAGGGGATCAGGAGATGGAGGGGAGAGGAAGGGGGTGAAAAAAGAATTGGGATGTGTTAGATACACGTACCAACTCCACACAAGGCATGTAATCATTACATACTGTAAACATGTACTAATAAAAACTAAAAAAAAGATAAAATGGCAAATTTAATGCTAGGTATGTTTTTACCACAACACAAAACCACAATAAAAAAAGAAATATTATTTATTATGAATAAAGAATGATAAGTGCTATTTCATTTCTTTCATTATTTGCTCTACGACTACATTTTCCCTGACGGTGCAAAGTGAAGAGAAAAGCGCGACTGCACTCACTGCTCAGCGGCTCCTGTTCTACGTGAGAACCCTCCGGCGCATCGAAACGACCTAGCGGTAGTTTGGGCTTCTTCAGCGATGGTTTGACCGGCTCAGGCTTTCCTCCTGGAGAAGAACTGATCTTCCTCAGAGCATCACAGAGGAGAGGTGTCCCTAGCAGAGCGGACAGAGGAGAAAAACAGAGCTCTTCGTTTACTCTGCTTGAAAGTTGAGTCACTTTACTTATTGGTCTTTAGTTTCTATGTCACATTTATTAAGTTTTAAAAGACACAAAGGGGGAGTGAAGATACTTCTCTCCACCCCTATTTTCTAGACAGCCATTTTCCTCCCGTAGACAGTACTAATGTCACTAGTTTCAAAAGGAAGCTATGAAATGTTAGCCATTATCAAAACTGCAGAAATATATAAAACACTGATTCCTGTCCCAAGCAATGCTAACATACCAAGACACAGGCCACTAAAAGTATCTAAGAAGCTGGGACAGTAGTAAATCCCTGTAATTCCCACACTTGGGAGGCTGAGGCAGGAGGAGCCTGTATTCAAGACCAACCTGGACTACACAGCAAGAAACTGTCTCAAAACAAACAAAGAAACAAAAAAAGAACCAAGTACTACGAATTTCTCAATGATAATATTTAGTCTATGTACATCAGCCTGACAAAGGTAGAGGTAGTAAGATACACACAAGTAGTTTTAAGGGTGGGAAGTTACAAAAAGGACCTATCAGATCAGAAGGATCAGCAGACAGGCAAAGGTAAGCCCAGGGGCCTTTGTTCAGTTCTGCCCAGGAAACAGCAGGTGCTTTGCGGCATGGACTGTATTAACATCAGTGCTGCATGTCATCTGGGCAGACCTGAGGTTCCCTTAGCTTCCCCTGAAAGAACTGACAAACTTACAGTGGAAGCCGTCTTTCAGGAACAGAAAGAAAGAACTGACAGGGTAAAAGAAACTCCATTTTTCTGGTTTTAACTCCACAGTAAGACAGGTCTCTTAAATTTCACTTAAGCTGTAGTTGACACCCCCAGACCCCAGTCCCCTTATCAACTTGCTTAAAAGCAGAGCAAGGCATAAATTGGGAACAGAACAAAGCACATTGGGAAGTAGGTTAAAGACTAACCCACTATCGTCACTGGAATTTGGTTGTCTGACCTCCTGGGAGAAAAGTAAACTTTGTGCTAATTATGTGACGTTCTTGTGAGATTCCTGAAAATGAAGTAATGGTCACTATGGAAACCTGAAATGTACTAAAACAAAAGGTGAGACCCAGAGGGTGATGGACATTTTCTCTGACTCCAGGTTAGAGGCGATCCATCAACCGGCTCCAATAAAGCTTTGTTCATTCATGCTTTTTTTTCCGGTTTTCTTGTGAGTGTCTTTCCCTTGCAGTAACAGAACCACCAAAAGCCACATTTTCTACTTGACGAGGTGGCCGGCTCCATCTTAGGCCTGGGCATTTTGAACTGTGTTCCCATGTACGCTAAAGACAAGGAGATGTCTTCTAAAAGAAGAAATAATAAAAGCAAAGAGTGAAGCATCACACTGAAGGACACTAAGGGTACACACAAAGGATAACAGAGAATCTCTGGTTTTGGCAGTTTGATAAATTTGATGTTAAAACCCTACAGCTATACACTATCTAAAGGCTGAGAAATACGTGTTGTGTTTGGGATCCAAAATATTCCCTGAAAGGTCTACTGCCTTCAAGGCTGCGGATGGACTGAAAGGAAGGGCTGGGTGGTGGGGGTTCTAACTTTCTCCTGGAAGTTAGAAATCTGGTAAGGTCACAGTTTGATGACATCACTGGAGGCATTGGCAACTCTGGATGCAAGGCCTAGTTGACAGGAGTGGCCTGGGTATCGGGGTGGGTGGTGGTATGTGTGTGCGCGCACACCCCTGGGACTCTGCCTTGTCCTTACCCCTTCCTCCCTACCCTCTTCCCTGATCCCTGGCTGCCAGGAGGCGAGCAACTCTCTTCTACCTGGGAGCCAGCCAGCCACAAAGTGAAATCTGTGAAACAGCAAACTGAACAAGTCTTCCCTCCTGTAGCTTGATTTCTCTTGGGGATTTTGTTACACTGCCAGAAAGCTCACTAATTCAATATACAGAATGCTTCTAAATCAGATAAAAATGCTAAGAAAGTAAATAATGACAAATTTAAAATGCCACCCATTGAGGTTAAAAAAAAAAAAAACCCACTTGAATTGAAACTGCTATACTTTGTACCTTTTTGTCCCAGAGCTTGGAGTGCAGGCCTTTAGGGCTGGCAGAGCATGGTGGTGCACACCTGTAATTCTGGTACTTGGGAGGCTGAGACAGGAAGATCAAAAGCTCAAGGGTAGCCTGGGCTGTTACGTAGCAATATGAAGGCCAGCCCCAACTGCACAGCAAGACCCTGTCTCAAAAATAAATAAAGAGGGCTGGGGATTTAGCTCAGTGGCACAGCGCCTGCCTGGCAAGCGCAAGGTCGTGAGTTCGATTTCTGGTACGGAGCGGGGGGGGGGGGGGGGGAAGAATTGGAAAGTTTTAAAGAAAGTATACATTAAAAAAAACCAGAGAAATAAGGAAATGAAAAGAAAGTTAAATGTGTAGGATAAAATAAGAAGGTCTAATAGATATTTAATCATATTTCCAGAAAAAAATGGGAAGACTAGAGAGATAGCACACAGGTGGCAGATGTAAAATAAAGAGAAACAAAGTCATACTTGGACCCAAAAGAAAAAGAAAAGTCTAACATCAGGGAAGATCTGAAAGGTAGCCAAATAAAAGCTTACTTAAAGATGGGCATGGAGGCCCAAGCTACCTAATCTCAGCTACTCAGGAGGCTGATGCAGGAGGATCACTGCAAGTTCCAGACCAGTCTAGGGTACATAGAAAGTCCCTGTCTTAAAAAAAAATGAACCCCAGACACCCATCCCAACATACACATGAGCGGAGGTATGTACACACATACACACACACACACACACACACACACACGCACGCACACACGCACCCAGGCTCATGAGACTATTATAGACAGCTAAGTTGCATAGAAATATCATAGGTGGTCAGACACGGCTAGGCCCTTGAAGGAGTCAGTGCAAAAGATAAGAACACATTACAACTGCAGCTGGAGGTGCATTTGTTGAAGGCCTCAAGATAAAAGATGGAATACCTCCCACAGGGATAAACAACAACAAGTAATATTCTAAATAGGCATTAGTCACCTGGGTGGGTGGCCAGAACCTCCTGACCCATGTCTTCCAAAAATGTGCTGGTTCTCTCCATGTGCACTTGTTATGTGACTTGTTTCCCACTGGATCAACATTACCTAATTGGCTATACTTGTAATCTTATTGGTTGATCACAGCTTTGTTCCACCTTGTACCTGCCTTGTGATTTTGTTCTACAAAACTTCCTCTGAGAAGTGGGCTCATTGGCAACCCACTTCCTGGGTCCTTTCCTGTCTCTTTCAGGGCCTGTGTCTCCCTCAGTAAAATTTCCTACTTTTAACCTCCCTTGTTCCTCAGAATTCATTCAATTTTGGGAAACAGGAACTCAGCGTATCGGGCATCTAGCAGGTTGGGAGGTATAATATTTCCCTATATTATTTGGAGGTCCTATATTAAGACTGAGCGAAAGAGGTAGAAGATAAGTGAATCCACAGCATTCTTAAGCTTGCTACTATTCAGCAGGAGGATATTAATTTACTTCAGACTACTTATTGACTGATAGATTGATACTGGGAATTAAACTCAGGACCTTGCAGTGGCCAGGCAGGCACTGTGCCACTGAGCTGTATCACCAGCTTTCAGACTTTTTAAAGTGTGTATTTGAACTAATACAGGAGACCCAAGCATGTCTTCCAAGCCCATAGAAATAAAAAAGCAAAGAAAAAAATTAGTTCAAAGAAAGTGTGACACACTGAAGGTACAAAAAGTAAGATTGTCGATAAAGCTAGTGACATCAGCACTATGGCTTCTGTGTGTTTAGCTGTGGGCCCCGAACATTCATGTGTCAGAGCCTGGCCTCAGAATGTTGATGTGGCAAATGACAGAAGGTACAAGGCAGAGCGGGAGCCCCTGGGGAGTGAGTTTCTGGTCTGGAGCCAGGGTGCGCTGCTATAGAAGGCTGAGCTGGAATCTCTCAGGTTCCTGTTCTGAGAAGTAACTTCTTCCTGAATGTGATCCCACCAGTGCCATCCAATATGAGGTCCTCCCCAGACCTAACTCATGAGGATGTCAGGCCCTTGAATCTCCAAAACTGTGAGCTAAATAAATCTTTTTAATAGTTAACCTGCCTCAGGTATTTTCTTATAGCAAACTGAAACATGCATATGTCAGTACTTACAATAAGTATAAATGGACTAAACTCTGGTTGAAAAGGTTAGTCAGGGGCTGGGGATTTAGCTCAGTGGCAAAAGCGCCTGCCTGGCAAGCGCAAGGTCGTGAGTTCGGTTCCCGGTACTGGAGAAAAACCCAAAAAAAAAAAAAAAAGAAAAGGCTAGTCAGACTGCAACGAAACACCAAAGTCTAGTTATGTGCTGTTTATGTGAGATATATTACTTCCTCATTTCAAAAAAAAAAAAGACACAGCAAATGGGGAAAAGACAGTAACATAATGAAACATTTACAATTAAAAATTCTCAATATATTCTTGTCATTTTAAGTTCACAAATATAGTATATATTTATAGCATAAATTATGAGTTTTTACTTTTGATGCTGGGGTTAAACCCAGGGCCTTGTGCCTGCTCCACTGAACTATGTCCTCAGACCCAATATAATTTTTTGAAATATGTATACACTGTAAAATAGCTGAATCAAACTAATAATAATATGTATTACCTCACAGACTAAGTATTTGTGTTTATGACACTTAAAAGCTACATTCAGCAATTTCCAAGTATGCAACACATTGTTATTAACTACGTTCACCATGCTGTAGAAGAGATTTTTTTGAAGAATGAATCTGCATATACATAAACTTGATTTATGACAGCTGGTACTACATCAGTGTGGGAAAGGTCTAATATATACTGAACACAGAACTGGGAAGAACAGTTATTGATACAGGAAAGAAATTATTTCTTGTGTCATACCATACACAAAAATCAGTTCATGATAGGAAAAAAAAAAACCCTACAGACCCTTGAACAGAAAATACTGTACAGAATATCTCTATCAGTTTAGCAATTTAGGGTAGTGAAAGCTTTCTGAGACAAGATCACAAGGTACTACCAATAAAAGATCAAGACAAGATCACAATGAAATTATAAATATCTGTTCATTAACAGATACTTTAAATATTGAATCTGCATGACTGTAAATGCAGGTCCATTATTCTATTCTGTCTTGTGTTTATATGAATTTCAGAGAAAGACATGCCACAGTCCATCATAGTGGCTTGTACCTGTTGTCCCACTATTGTACCTGGAAGCAGAGGCAGGAGGATGACTTGAGCCCAAAAGTTGAAGGCCAGCCAGGCAATATAACTAAAAAACGTTTGTGGGGGCTGGAGATATAGCTCAGTAGGTAGAGTGTCTACTTAGCATACATGTGCATAAGGCCCTGGGTTCATCCCTAGTACCCAAAAAAAAGTTAACAAAGGTTAACATCCACACATACGCGAAGCACAAAAACAAGAAAGAAAATTAAGAAATTAATACATTAAAAAAATGAGATCTCTTACACAAACAAACTAGTAGAAATCTGAAAAATGTTTAATTAGAAAAAAGCAAGCTGGGCATGGTAGTGCACACCTGAAAGCTGAGGCAGGAAGACTGCCTTAAGTTTGAGGCCAGCCTGGGCTATGTAATGAGTTGAAGACCACCAGCCTGAACTACATAGTAAGACCCTGTCTCAAAAAAGGAAAGAAAAATGTAAAATCACAAGATACTATTTTAACACTCTCTTGGGAGCCAGAAATTAAACTTTCAGACAAAATCAAATGTTTTCAAAGGTGTGAAACAAGAAGCACTCTAATACACTGCAAATAGAAGTCAGTGTAAACTGGTAGTGGGACCAAAAACAATGCCTTTATAACTTGGTATAGTATTTGAGAACAAAGAGGCTCAATTCCATTCCTTGCACTGAGTATGGGTAACACACACGAAGTGTGTAGCAGCCAATTCTAGAATACTCTAGGGTCCACTGGGAGAAAAATGGAAAATGTACCATGTACCCACGGCTGAACAACTACAACCTGACAGACATACAGCTCAATCTCAAAACACAGTATTACCCGAGAAAAGCAAATAAATACAAACTATATGAAACCATTTCTATAAAGATTTTTAAAAGCACAAATTTCCACGATTGTATCACAAAGCAGCTCGTCAGTAATGAAAGTCTATTATCCTAAACTTGAGAATGGGTTCATAACGATGCTTTTGCTTCATAATTTATACAAGCACTTTGCAAATTTTCAGTAGAAACTATTTCGTAATTATTCAAGCTGGTGAGAAAGGAATGAATACAATAATAATTATGTATCTCACATTATTCAGACTGTAAGTCTTACTACAAGTACTTAGGAAACTTACTGTAAGTCTGGATAATGTGAGATGTTCACTTTCTATAATGTTCTTTTCTGGACTGTTTAAGATTTTTACAACTAACTCATATAGTAATACGTGTTTGAGGAAAATGACATAGAAAGTAAAGCAAGTTGCACAGAAGTCAGGCCATTTACTATGGAATCAGTAATTGTGTTTTCAATTTACAAGCACATGGTACTTAACTTTTTAGGACGCTGTAATTAAAGTCATGCTCTGCATACTCTGAACCACTAAGCGACATTTTGAGGGGTCCAACAATAATAGCTTTTTTTTTGGTACCAGGAATCGAACTCAGGACCTTGCGCTTGCTAGGCAGGCGCTGTGCCGCTGAGCCATATTCCCGGCCCACGAATGGCTTTAAAAATGTTGGTTTCTATTGAGAGCATGTGAGCTTCTTCTGCATTAATAATTCCCGGCTTCGCCTAATTTTTATTACGCATACTAATTTGCCTTTGGCTCACTTCTAAATTTTTCTTTTTTAATACTGTAAATGGTCACAAATCCCTTTAGATGTAAGCATGTCAGCGACTCCTATTCCCAAAGGGCCTTCTGAACCGCTTTCCCGAGGGGCACCACAAAGAGGGCGCGCGCCAGAGACCCCAGAAAAATAACCCGCCGGCGGGGCACTTCCGGCTGAGGGCCGTGGTCGGAAGGAAAAGGGCAGAGGACCGGAAGTACCCGCCCCACCTTCGGCTCCAGGGCTGCCCCAGAAGTGAGCGGCGCGAGTGGCCCACCCGAAAATAAAAGCTCTGCGCAGCCCGCCGCGCGTCGGCACACGCAGAGCTTACTCCTCGGACGGCTCGAATTTTTGCGACCCCGACCCGACCGGGTGCCTTACTTGCCGCTCGCCAAGCGGTGGCGTGGACTCGACCAAGCAAAGCGGAGAGGCTGAATACGGCCATAACGCCGAGTACGGTGGCGCCTGCGCACGCGCAGCTGAGGGGGTGAGGGAGGGGCAGGCCTCACCGCCCGTGGGCGGGGCCGGGACCTGGGGGCGGGGCTTATGTCGTCCTATAACCCGCACCTTCGCAGCTTGCAACTAGAAAAGGAGTGGGATGGGGCTGGGGATTTAGCTCAGCGGCACAGCACCTGCCTGGCAAGCGCGAGGCCGTGAGTTCGATTCCCTGACCGGAAAAAAAAAAAAAAAACCTAAAAGAAAAGAAAAGGGGTGGGGTGGGGTGGAGGTGGGCGCAGCTGTTACCCAGAAGCATTCGGAACCCTGCCTTGATTAAACCCCCAGCCACGCTTCGGAGTCGCCTTTATTCCTTTATTCTTCCCTTCTCCTGCCCTTTCAGTCTCTAGTAATTACTGTTTTTTATTTAAATTTTCTTTGGTGATACTGAGGTTGAACCTAAGGGCGCTCTACCACTGAGCCACATCCCCGGCCCTTTTCATTATTGTCTTTCGACTGGGTCTCTCTAAATCGACCAGGAGCAAGTTGAAGTTGAGATCTGTGGTCTTAGCCTCCCCGAGTGCTGGGATTCTAAGTGTGCCATCTTTTTTTTTGAGACCGGGTCTCTCTTGTAGTCTAGCTTGTCCTGCTTGCCGTCTTCTTGCTTCAGCAAGCTCAGTGCCGGGATTCCAAGTTTAGGAATCACTATCACACAGGCTGATCGGCTGTAAAAAATAAACCGGAAATAGAAATAACAAGTTCTGGTGTTCTGGATCAGTCTCCTAGGAGTACTGTATATTTTATCAATAACTGAAAGACGTTCAAAGGCTGCAAACAGAGGAGATAGAAACGTTAACTACCCCTATTTGATTACATGTATGTTATATACATGTAGTGAAATAGCACACTATATACCACATAGATACAATGATCACGTGTTAATAAAAAATTTTAAAACATGATAGAAATGTTAATTACCCTATTTGAAAATTACATGCTGTATACATGTACTGTATCAAATTATTACAGTATGCCCCATAAATTTATCAATTAACATAATAAATATGCCAGCCTTAGTGTCACAACCTTGCAAGCCCAGCACTGTGGGAGGCTGAGGCAGGAGGATTGCAAGTTTGAGCCCAGTCTGAGCAGTTTAGCAAGACTTTGTCTCAAAAAAAAAGGTGGGGGAAATGAGGTTTAGTATGAAGGCCCACGATTCAGTCCTCAGAACCACAGAACTAAGGTGATGTGTGATGTTGGATGCCTGTAGTCCCAACAAGGGCCAGCGCAAGCCAACTGCCTGAAGTTCCAGGCCAGCCTGGGGTGCATTGCGAGACCTTGTCTCAAACATACAAAATAAATAACTAAAAATAATAACATTAAATTAGAGCGGGGTGTGGTGGCACACGCCTATAATCCCAGCACTCGGAATCGCTGAGTTTGAGCCAGCCCGGGCTACATAATAAGTTCAAGGTTAGCCTGAACTATGCAGTGAGACCCTGCCTCAAAAAAACAAACAAAAACAACGTTAAATTATGTTGAATTTTTCACACCATTAAATGTTTTTGAAAATAAATTTTAATGAGTTAAAAAGATACTGTCTTAAGAATTTATCATTTAAACTGTTGTTCCATGGCTGGAATTCCTTTTTTTTTTTTTTTTTTTTGGTTTTTCTCCGGTACCGGGAACCGAACTCACGACCTTGCGCTTGCCAGGCAGGCGCTTTGCCGCTGAGCTAAATCCCCAGCCCCTGGAATTCCATTTTTATAAGCAAAAAAAAAATAAGAAAACTCATAGTTGAAATTAGATGAGGGAATAGTTCCAGTCTGAGGCTAAAATGTCTTAGAAGATCCCTTTTTGGGTTTTGGTTTTGGTTTTGGTTTTGGTTTTGGTTTTGGGGGGTTTTGTGTATATGTGATTTTTTTCTTATTTTGAGACAAGGTATTACTATATAGTTCAGCCTGGCCTTGAACTCACTATGTAGCCCAGGCTGGCCTGGAACTCACAGCAATCTTCCTGCCTCAGCCTCCCAAGTGCTGAGATCACAGGTGTGCAGCACCATACCCAACTAGAAGATCCTTTTTATGGAACACAGAAATTGAGCATGTTTTACAGTGTTCTTTTGATTAGGTAATATGCTGCATTGGCCTCATTGTCCTTCCTTTTTAAATTTCTCCTCTTTGGTGAGTCCCTCATTTGTATACCTGACACAGTGGCCAAATGACCTGAAAGATGACTTTTTTGAGTGAGGTTCAGAGCAAGAGAAGGCTCTCCCTCTACTCCAGTCTGCAGTGCAAGGAACTCCGCCAAGTGGCCCTTGAATCCCTACAGTTCCGACGGGTTCAGAGCATATGTGGCAGATTAAACTGCTTTATGCAACCTGTGGGAGGCCTTTACACCATCAGAGGATGTTGGGAGAGGCTGAAGCTGGAAAATAATTACGCGTGCAGGACGAAGCCAGCCCGAGAACACGGGAGCTCCTCGAAGCACGGAAACAAGCCATTGAAGCTTGTTAACTGCTGAGCAGTGAAGCTCAAATTAATCAACCTTTTGAGGGTATAAATAAATATTCTACTGTTCTTGGGCAGTTCCCCTTCTCCACTCAGAGAGGTCCTCCTTCTGATCCCAGCTTTTTGTCTCTTGTCTATTTTTTCCTCGTTTTCACCGCCATTTTGGGGTACAGCAAGAACCCAGCAGATCTGTACAGTTGTTGCCCCACATGGAGTCCCAGTAGAAATAAGTGAGAGGTGAGAACGCTTCCCAAAAACCATGCAACGCAGGGGAAGCGAACTGGTGAGCTAGTATTCAGCCCTGGAGTGTGGGGTACTGGCCCATCAGCTGTAAAGCGTGGGGATATGGGTTCTCTAGGGCCAGAAAATATATAGGCTTCAAAGAAGTCAAAAAGGGAAAGGTTTATTGATTTACTAGCAGTTAAAAATGAGGCAGGTACAGTCTCGAGAATCACAGGAGTGTATGTGTACAGAAGTGTTTTTTGCACACTTGACTCTTGTATTTTTCTCTTTTGGGTGCTCTTTAGAAGGGGTTTGAGAACCATAAGAGACTTGACTCAGGTCATTATGTTAACATCAAGTCCTGAGCTTGAGCCAGTCAAGGAGAGCAGAGGAATAGTATTGCCGATAGAGCTTGAGCCTCTAGCCTCACTCAATTTAATAGGAAAGGAACAGTGGGGAACAAAAGAGACCTTTCCCCACCAGAGAGGTGTTGTCTCACAAATTCCATCTTTTGACATATCTACCCTGTCACTGAAGTTGAAACTCCCAATGATCCAAGACAAATACTACGTCTTTGGATTTGTGCAGATACTAGCTCCTCATATGTGCAAGGGATTGCCTTCCCAGCAGGTATCACTTGGGCTGTCCGCCCACAGTCTGGAGGAAAGGGAAAAAACAGGGCTGTTTATTTTTGTTGTGAGGATAAGGGACATTTTGCTCAAGGCTGCTCTGTTGCATGGTCATTATCTGTCTCTTCCACAAAGCTTTCCAGTCCTTTTGCAAAGTGTCAGCAAGGGTAGTGTTGGGAAAATGAGTGTAGCTCTAAAACTGATATGAAACGCTGGTCCTTCCTGGGAAACTCCCAGTGGGCCCAGCCTCAGCCCCAGCAAACAATAGGGGCACACAGGCTGGGTGCCAGGAAGGCCCTGCCCTTGGGTGCTAAGCAGACTCAGCTGGGATTTCCCAGGGACCAAGTGTCCACAGGCCCGGGCCAGCCGTGGCTGTCCACATGCCACCAACTACAGTCCCGTGTGCCTGGGGCTAAATAGGAGGGTCCTGACTGCGGTGCACCCTGATTTATGCCATGTGCACTTCAGGCACCCGAAATTCATTCAGCACAAACACTATTTGTGCTCAAAATTGGAGCAAAAACAAACAATATCCAGTGGCCAGAGTGGAAGCTAAGGCGAGCGTGCACAGTGCCTTGGGCTGATAGGCTGAGGCAATGGCTGTGTATTCCTGTTCCCTTGCACCTGGCAAACTGGACCCCAGAAAACTGTTTGGACGCCTCCATTGTGCCATGCACCTGACTAGTAGGCAGCTGTAGCTACAGAGATGGTGATTGCCTCACTCCTTGGGGAGGGGGCACGGGGCAGTGGAACCCATTCCTGAAAGTAAAACAGGACAATTGAGGCCCTGCCAGCAGTTCACCCAGTCCTGAGGTGATAAAAGGAAACCCTCGGTCAGAGGCTGCAGAGAGACCAGGTTTTGCCCATTGTCATTGATTTGGGCTATATAAAAAATTCAATTACTCAAAACCTTATTGATCACCCCAGACTCTCATATTGCTCAATTAGTCACTCTCCCCTTGACAAAAAATAGTAAACATTATAAATAAGGAAAGGGATCAAAGGGTTTTGGATGTCTTACACCTATTGGTTCCAACAGATCAAACAATCACCCTGAGATGGAATTACCTATTAGGGAAAAAAACATTTAAAGGGCTTTTAGACACAGGTGTGGGTGTTTCAGTGCTTGCCCAGCACCACTGGCTTAAAGCACAGCCTAAGGATGTAGCTACTACAGACCCACAGGGAGAGGGCAGTGTTTCTCACCCTAGCAGGTGGTAAGTAGCTAACCTGGAAAGATGCAAGGCACCTTATCCAACAAAGATAAAAAAGATGCTACAATGAGCTATGACACTTGCCAAGGACTGTCCATGCGTGAGTGGTTTTATTCTCCTAACACAATGGCTTTAGCCAGTAGCTAACGGAAAGAAGATTCCCTCTCTCATCAAGCTGATCCTGCAATTAGAGTCCATCTTATAGATAGATGCATGATTTAGGTTTTGGAATTTTAGTGGTAATTAATTTAGCTGGACAAACTAAAGCTGAATGACTTTTTTCAAGTACAACCCAAGAGTGTTTGTGTGTCTACTCCTAGACGTTGCACTGATCCTTTTAAGAGGGATCTTAAAAATAACTTGATAATTTCTTTGAAAGTGTGCAGAAAATGGAAATTACAACAGAGATTATTAGTTTGTGACAGTATTCAGAAATCATGGAGAGCAGCCACATTGTCCTGATGCTTGCTGATGATATG